TAGGTACTGGCAATACATCACTGTACAAAACAGATTTTAAAAATCTATATCCCTGTGGCGCATATATTCTAGTGGGGAAAGAGAGAAGAAGCAAAATCAATAATCTAGTTATATAGCACATTAAAGGGTAATAGCTGCTATAAAAAAATAAAGGGCAAGATAAGGGGGTTTTAGAAGTGCTGGACTGAAAATAAATGATTGCAGTTTTAAAGAGGATGGTCAGGGGAGGCCTCCCTGAGAAGGTAAGACTTATACGGAAAGACCTGAAGGAGGTGACAGAGTGAGCTGTAGCTATAGAGTATCTGGAGGAAGAGCATTTTGGCTGCTCAAGCAGCCAGTATTAAGACCCTAGAACAGAACCATGCCAGTGTATTCAGGAAAGCATAAGGAGGCCAGTGTTATTAGAGCAAAGAGACCAAGGAGGAGAGTAATAGGAGATAAGGACAGAGTGGTAACCAGGCCCAATTGTATAAGGGTTTTCAGGTCATTGTAAAGACTTTGGCTTTTGCTCTGAGTGAAGAGAGAAAAGGCTCATGATCTGATACATGTTTTAAAAGAATCACTCTGGCTGGTCTCTTGAGCAGAGATTTTTGGGTGACAGATGGAAGCAGGGAGACCAATTAGGGGCCTATCCAATAATTCAGATGAGAGATGATAGTAGTTTAGACTGGGAAGGGCAGTAGAGATAGAGAGAAGTGGTTCGATTTTGATATATTTCAAAGGTAGAATGAACTGCACTTGTGGTGTATTCAATGTGGACTATAAAAAGAAGAGTCAAGGATATATTCAAGGGTTTTGGCCTGAGCAACTGGAAAGATGGAATTACCATTAATGAGATTTTAAAAAGATTAAATGAAGTGAGTTTTGGGGAAAATGATTGGGAATTCAAATTTGGACATGTTAAGTTTGAGATGTCTAGTAGATGTCTAAGCGGAAATATTAAAATAGGAAGTTGGATATATGAATCTAGAGTTCGTGGGAGAGGTTCAGGCTGATAGATCAAGTAAGATAAAGACTAAGAACTGACCTAAATTTAGCAATGTGGGGATCTTTGGTGAGTTTGACAGCAGCATTTTTGGTGGAACGGTGGGGACAAAAACCTGGCTAGAGTGAATTTTAAGAGAATGAGAGGAGAGGAACTGGCAACAGAGTGTCAAACAATTTTCTCAGAGAGTTTTGTTGCAAAGGAGGAATAGAGAAATGGTGCAGTAACTGCCAGGAGAGGATATTTTACAAGGGGGGAAATAAATCCATGTTTGGATACTGATGGAAATAATCCAGAGAAAGAAGAGAGCTGATATAGGAAAGAGAAAGGAAAATGCTAGAGCATGTCCTAGAATAGATCACAGGGGCTGGGTCTAGGCGGCATAAGAGAAGGTACTGGCTATAGATAGGAGTATAGATAGTTCATCTATGGTAATAGGCAGGAAGGCAGCGTATGTAGGTTCAGATGTTATTAGGAACATAAGTGTGGTGGTAGGAGTTTATGGAAGTTCCTAACTGATTGCTGCATTTTTTTTTTTTTTTTTTTTTTGAGAAAGGGTCTCATTTTTGTCACCCAGGCTGGAGTGCAGTCGCTAGATCACGGCTCACTGCAGCCTTGACTTCCTAGGCTCAGATGATCCTCCCACCTTAGCCTCCGGAGTAGCTGAGACCACAGGTGTGCACCACCACACCCAGCTAATTTTTTGTATTTTTAGCAGAGGGGGGTATCGCCATATTGCCCAGGCTAGTCTCAAGCTCCTGGGCTTAAGCAATCCACCTGCTTCCACCTCCCAAAGTGCTAGGATTACAGGCATGAGCCACCGTGCCCAGCCTGATTGCTGCAATTTTGACAGTAAAGAAAGAAGCAGGGTCATCATCTGAAAGTGAGGAGGAGGGGAATAGTGTCAGAATTTTGAAGAGAGAGTAGAAAGTGCAAAATAATGACCTAGGATAGTGGGAGGCTAAATGGGCAAAGGAAATGTAAGTATAACTGCCAGATGTCATTAAGAGTCCACTTGAGGCTCATGGTCATGAATTCAAAGCAAAGCCAGTGAGGATGCTTGTGTACTGTCTCTAGCCACATTCAGGTGCACAGGTGCAGTCATGGGCCAGGCAGAGAACTGGATTTAACAAATATAAGGAAGTAAGAGAGGGATGAGGAAGTTGAGGGTGTATGCAAGGGAGTAGTTACAATGATAGGCCATGGAATTTAAGCTGAACAAGAAAGAAAGATAAACATAGGGAAGTGGGACAGTGACATGGTGATAGGATCAGTGTGGGCCAGTGGGACTAAAGAGTACCTTCTAGAAGGAATGAGCTGTGAAAGATAGGAGGGGTTGGTCGGAGAGTGGCTAGAGTTGCAGTAACTGGTAAAGATAGGTTTGGAGGAGTGCTACTCAATGAGTAGACCATGAACTGGTGCCAGTCTGTGAACTGTATGTTACTGATCTGCAAGGAGATAAGTTCAGAAATTGAAAATAAATGTTTAGAAACACTGCTGCGACATCCAAGCATATGATCAGTGGACTTGTATTGGGAATGCCTTTGTGTTTTTAATCTCATTTGTCTATTCCTTTGTGACTATATTTTACAAAAGCATTGGTCTGCAACAGATTAGATACAAACAAAGTCTGGTCCTTCCCCATAGCGGAAGCACATGCTCTCACGAGCATGCATGGGAGTGTCTCTCCAAAGGTGGAGGACAAGGTCACGGAGGAGAGGAGGGAACAGTGAACTCCCCATCATCTCTAGTCTTCCAAGATAGCAGGCTGCCTGACTGCACAGCTCCAGGAAGCACCATTCTCATTATATGTTACATGAACAATACAACTCCAGGTACTGTGTGAATGGTGCTCTTAGAATGTTCAAGGAGAGAGCTAGTGTTAACCCCATTTTACAGATCAGAAAACAAGCTCAGAAAGGTTAAATAATTGCCCAAACTCATACAGCTACTAAGGGGAGGAGCCAAGATTTGAACCTAGGTCTGTCTGTTGTGCTAAAGCTGAACTCTGTCCACAACACCCCTCTCTCTGTCACATGCTTATAGCACAGCCATAAGCCTCATGAGAACTGGGGGAAAAATGCCTTTTGGGAATGTGTTACGGTCCATGTGACCTAGCCGGGCATTTCAATTTATTTTAGAGTCACGACTTGTTACAGCTGCTGTGGGAATCCATACCCAGTGGCTGCTTAGATCCCTATCTCTCCAGTTTGTCTTTGTTGAACCAAGGGACTGAAGCACCTCAGGAATACAACATCCACCATCACCGCAGGATTTCCTGCAGTCTGCTCTTGTGCTTTAGTAATTGCATATGTATTAAAAGCAAATTCTAAAGAGACATTTGTGGAATGATAAGATTATGAATAATTTTAATACTTTAATCTTTTTCAAGATTCATGTGATGGATGGATACATTACTTTTCTGATCTGAGAACGTCTAGTATAGATGTATACTTTAAACCATCTTACTCATGGTTCAAGTCTTAGACTCTAAAAGGGCTGAGCGGGCCCCATTTCTCACTGAGCCTGAGTCCCAGGTACACTGGGAGCCTCAGCATTTCCAGAGAAGTTGGTGTTGGTTGCTTCCGGCTCTCCCCAGGTGCATGGAGTTTCTGAGAAATCCGTAAACAAAGTAAGCATTGATCTCTTAGGGATTTCCTAATTTCCTTCATTTCTTGCCTATCCAGTAAGCCTCAGCAAGTACAGCAACACTAAAGTTAATTTGTAAAGCTTATCTGGGTATTACTGGACCTGTGAACACTGAGGTAACCCACAGCTTCTGGAAAGCCCTCCCATGCTCCAAGTCTGTATACTCACCCAACACATAGGATACAGCATAGGAATTGGGGGTTTATGTGTCCATATGGCCCATCAGGCTGCCCCTGTGAAGGCATGGTCTATGGCACAGTACAGGACCTGACACACAGTGAGGAGTGGCTCAGTAAGAACGAGTTGGACAAGTCAATGAACAACTGCTGCCCAGCCTGTGGAGGTATTTTTGTAGTGATGTCTTTAATCTTTTCTACCTTGAGAAATTAACTGGCATTAATGTATATTAATGTATTGTATATGAAAAGATCTTTTGAGATGACTAGTATAAGACTTATTATTATATTCAGACACATGACTTTTCACCTAGGAAAGATGTAGAAGAAATGAATCCACCAAAACAAGCAAATATAACTGGGCAGGGTAGGACATGTTCACTCCGGTTAGGTCTAAAGAATCAAAATAGAAAATAGGAACAGAATTTTACTTTGAAAAATCGTACCATAAATCACAGTTTTGGTGCTGTGGTAAGATGAATCATTTAAAAACTTGAATATGGTAAAATGCTAATCATCACAGTTATTAATTGAGAGTAACTAAAAACCTCTGGTTGGCCTCATAAGCATTAAATACTAAAGTTTTCAAATGCATGTTACTAATTATTGTTATTAATGTGAAGTTTTAATCCTGATCCCCTTTGGGAGACTAAGTGTCAGTGTAGGTGAATTTTTCGCTATGCCTAAAAACCAACAACTACCAAATGAAATTTGACTCTTCTTTTCTTCCATCTTGCCAAATTGCTCATTTCATCAATACGAAAAGCAACTGACATGCCAGGCAGTATAGATATAAACTGTCTCACATCATTTATTTTTATAAATTTGTATTCCAGTCAAATGTGGAATACTTTGGTTTCAATATGTACCTCATTGATGTTAAGGGTCTAGAATCATTATAATGACTATGGTAAAGATAACATATTTTTCTCTAGTTTGTCTACAAAAACCTATAAAAACTAGCAAAAAGGTTAACTATTGTATTTAAGTAGAGAATTCTTCTTCTAGACTTGAATACTAAATAAAACACAGAAGACGGTTACATCCTATTTTTTATCATACCTTTTGAAATAATCTGTATATACCTTTTAAATAATTTCAAGTGCCACAAAAAATAATGTTAATAGCTCAAAATCAAAAGTTAAAAAAAAACCCCTATGTATAATTTTTAAAATCTTTTTCTCCTCAAGCGTTTTACGATGGGATAATGAGACAGATGTCTCTCAACTGGAAGGACGTTTTGACATTGTTATGTGTGCTGACTGGTAAGTACATAAAAATCATAAAACTCCTGTTAGAAAAAAATAGCTTTGCTGGAGTAATTGGGCTGTGCTGCTTTGCTGACGGCTAAGCAAAGTCAACAAATGAAGCACAAAGCCACCTTAACCTCAACAAATTAATATTCATCTCCATATGACAGTTATAAGGTAGTCTTCTATCACACAGTAACTTCTACCACATTATTTCCCAAAGATTGATTTTGAGAAGCATTTCCATTTTCTGGAATTGCCTCTGTTTCATGCTTGACGTATCAGTAAATGGACGACTTAGGCAAATTGCAAATAATTATGGCTCAGAGAGGAATAGTCTGGAGAAAAAGGAGTTTATCAACACAAACAGCTCAATTAGCTTACTTCTTAGGAGAGATCTGACTATTGATATAAGGGAATATATATGTGTGTGTACACACACATACTCTCTAGCAAATAAACATATCTGTGGAATATCTTTGGGGAAATAGCTCTTCTTAAAATATATGTTTGCTATCTAATGTTTTCAGTGTATTCAATTATAATATTTAATGATACATAAAACAAAAATTATAAAATTTCATTTTATTCTTATGCAGATAATAACATGACAATCTCTGTCAGGTGCCTGCATTTTAAAAATAATTTACATTAGGTATTTTGCCTTCTATTTTAGCCCAGTCTACTTATTTGTTAATGAAAGTCTGATCATAAGTTACAGGATAAATATGCATCAGACCTTAATAATTATTTCAACTCATCTTATGTATTTCTTCATGCAATTTGAATAATAATTATTTCAGCTTATGGGAAACATTGACAATTCACAAGTATTTTCCCTGTTAAGAGTAAGATCTTGTTTGTAGTTTTATCATGATGTTTATCAGGACACTTTAGATTTTAAAACACATTTAAGTTCAGATTCTGAAGAACTTCTGTTACATTGATAGGGCCAATCATGAGATCCAGAACTCAGAGAAGACTTTCCCTAGAGGAGAGTTGAATGAAATTTTCAGGAAGTGGGTTTCGTTATTATTATTATTATTTTAAGATTTTCAATGGATAACTTTTCTGCAAAAGTCATTGGAATTAGGTTTGCTTTTTTTCTTTGGAAAAAAAAATACTTCTCCATGAAAAATAAATATTTTGTTCTATTGTTAGCTGAGAGTTTCTAGTTTTTCAGAGCCCTTTTAGTCTTTTTGCACCCAGTTTCAGAAAATCTTGTTCCAAAAAGATCTAGGTTTCTCCTAGATTTCTGACTAATCACTGATAGTGTGCCTCAATGCCGCAGCCATCATCTTATCAAAAATAAGGAGCTAAAACCTCACGGTATGATTCGAGCAAGTAATTTAGTAAATGCCTTTCCTCACCAAATATGAGAAAGAATCCTCCAGGTTTCATTGCACAGATGAAGATAATGCTGGCAGGATTAGATCAGATTAAGCATGAAAGTCAGATCAGAGAGCAGCGGCAAGAGGGAAGGGGCAGCGTCTTCCTGAAGCTTTAGAAGAGGGTCACACGCGGACAGGCTCTGATTATATGGGGAAGGCAGGTCTGGCCAAGAGATTTAGAGTTAAATTTGTCCCTTACACAAATATCAAAACAGCCTGGCTTTGTCATACCTTGTGTTATGGACACTCTCACCATGTCATCACCATGTCATCCTATTTGTACCAGAGGGAAAAGCAGAGGAAGTAAGATTTAAGCTCTTTTCTGATTAATGTTCTCAGGTTAAAAATAGCCACACAACATGTTTGAAAAACAGTCTTTTTTCCGTAGCTGACAACAGGGTCACGTCCACTGATATACATAATGCATATTCAGTTTAAGACTTACATTACACGCACATAACATAATACAATATTATATGTATACACACACACATAGATACATATCTGGTAGCTGTGTGAGAATTTATGGCTTCAAATGAACTAAATACACCAAGCTTCATTTTATAAATGGCTTTTCCATGCATGAATTGTTGTTTTTTTTTTTCCTCTGGGTGTTGTAAATGCCAGAATGTCAGCCTGTTTATAATTTCCCATTTGTAAATGTGGAACATTAAGCTACTCTCACTGTGATGCTGATAGTATTTCCAAAAGAAATGCTTTGGTAATGGTCTCTCTTCATATTCGTGGGGATGGGTAAGTTGCTTAGAAACTTAGAAAGTACAGTAATATTTCTAATATGCACGTTGTGCATGTAGCAGTGAAGCACAGGATTCCACGAGTTCTTTATGTCCTGTTGGTGTGGTGTTTCTCTGTAAGAGTTATTGCATGGATGCTGCTTCTAGGGGCAGGCAGGTAGGCAGGCAAACCGTGCTACATTTTTTTAAGAATGTCACAGGAGAGAAAAGAAAGCTCTCTTTAGACACCACCTCCAAGACGAAACCTGAAATCCTCAGTGTCAGAAAGAGGTGCCACACATAAATAGATCACATTAAGTCTCACACCATCCTTTGGTCATTGTCAGCAATGAGATCTGGATTAGGCCACAGGAATATGAAGCAAGAGTCGGAGTTCAAATATTAGGTACATGGATTAAAATCTTATTGAAGCATTTCCAGCAAGGGTGGCATTGTCTGATTCCCTGAATAGCTAACCAGTGGTACTGCTTGATCCCATTTACATGAAAACAAGCTCTATTCACAAACCTATTCCAAACCCACATTGTGGTTCAAGTAAAATGCACATGATTACAACAAACGGTGATATGTTTATGTTCTTAAATCATTCATATATTCAGATATTTACATTCAAACATTCAAAAACCTGTAGGCAGTGGGGGAAATAACTTATTTCCCAGAAGAGACAGTCTGTTAGTTCACAACTAAATTTAGTAGCTCAACTAGATTATAAAATAAAGAGGCAAACTGTGAAAGCTAGTCATTATTTCACCATTCAGCATTTTTGACAATGAAAAATAGTTTCATGGTTCAACAGTTCCTAAATAACTTGTAAAATGTCAACTTTGAAATAAACAGAAGGAAAAATTGAGCTGCAGCCATACCTGCAAAAGGATGCTGTTGACAAACATCAAAATATTAGAATATTTAACCACAGGTGTAGAAAAAAACCTGCCTATTAAGTTCCTCAGTTGACTTGTTTAATGTTGAGTTTAATATAAGGATTCCTTTCTGCTGGAATGCAGTCCAGCCTGGTCCTTGCTGAGTTAGAATAGTGAGTGATTGTTAATTTTAAGCCTGCCTTTCCAGACTCCTGTTCAATCACAATATAATCTAAGGGTCTGGAAGTAAGATGTTTTTTTATCCAATGAACGCTTTCATTCAGTGTTTGACGGCCCTCCAGTTTATTGTAGCTCTGCAAAAATAGAAATAACTCTGTGCATTTGAATTCTCAAAAGGCTTAGAAAGCATATCTGAAATGCCACCCATACCCTGACCGGCCCATTGAGCTGGGTATGCAGGGCGATCAGCACATCTGTGTGCCTGCAGCCCGAGACTTCGGAAAGAAATGGCGGAAAGTACACTGGCCCGCAGCAGCCCACCCCGCTTGCCCTCTCAGCAGTTTCGCGCTTGCTATATACTCTAAATTGTTTCTCTTTTTTCAGTCCTTTTTACTTTACTCTAAATGATGAAAAATGTTTGATTTTTAAGCTGATTTTGTGAAATTTTTTCCCCTCAAAATGGAAACACTGTAGGCTCTAGAATTTGTTTTCTTTCAGATGCTGTGATCATGGATAGCTCCAAATCACAACTCACAGACGTTTACATCTGAAAATATATTCAGCCCAAATATAGTCAGCCCTTTCACCTGACACCCGAAAAGACTCAGTCCCAGAGAAAATACATGAATCGCCCACGATTGCTCAACTAAAGGGGTAGAGCCAAGTAAAATTAGAATATGGCATCATTCTGAGCTCTCATAAAAATCAGCTGGTAAATACTGAAAGGTCATTCCTTTGCTGAAGTTAAATCTAAAACAGTGACTTTAACTCAGCACATTTCACCTTGAAAATTACATAGGGGGTCTTCCTTTCTGTGGCTATTGACAGAGAAAAATGTCTCCTTGTTCTCTGCACTAATTAACTTCCCTTTGAGAGGAATTACAGATGCTCTGCAGTCTGCATAAAACTCTGATTCTAAGGGAGGTGATGAAAATGGTCTGGCACCTTTCCTTTGTTGGAAAATCTGTGATTCTGATCAATGGAAGAAAGCAAGTGTTGATCCACAAGTGAATTATATAGAGGTGTGTGTGTGCGTGTCTGTGTGTACATGTCTGTGTGTGTCTGTGTGTGCGTGTGTGCACACGTGTGTGCATGTGTGTGCGTGTGTGTCTGTGTGCGTGTCTGCATATGCGTGTGTGTGTGCACACGTGTGTTGTCTGTGTGTGCATGTGTGTGTCTGTGTGTGTCTGTATGTGTGTGTGTGTGCGCCCTTTAATGGTCAAACTAGACTGCCAATGTATTTTGATCAGTAACTAAAGGGAGAGTTAAAATGGTATCTCCATCCCCATCACTGACCCACTCAGCCTTTTTTAATAGATCCACTTAAGCTACTGCTGTTCTCTCAGCCCATTAGGACTTGTTTGAGGGGTGAATTTTCAGGAGATTATATATCATTCGCACTAAAACACATTGAAATTGCTCAGATGACATACTCTACAAAGTGTTATAAATTCTGGATCAGAGCTAAGTAGCAAGTGAGCATACTTGGAATAAAGATCTATTAGGGAACTACAAAGAATTAATTTTGAGACATTTGATCTGGAGACTTGGAGTAGACAGCATTACCTTTCAAATAACTGTGTTTGGAATGTGTGCCATGTGTTAAGCTGTGATGTTAACATCTTTGTCACCCTGACCAACTTTAAGGAGAAATAGCATTTTATAAGGGTATGTTTGAAGCTAAATTCTTAAGGTGCTGTTTATTTATTTTTTTCTAACAATCTTACCAGTTTTAGGATGCACAGATATAAACCGAGTGTGGTCCTTTGCTTAAATGCTGCATGTCCCAACCAGCCAGGTTTCCCGTAGGCCTGGGTATTTTCCTACAG